CGATTATCTCTGACTGAGCCATGAAAGTCTCATTACAACGTGATGCAAAATTAGATACATTATTACCAAACCTATACAAATCATTTATACGCGAAAAAAGACGCTCTTTTTTTGCTATTAATAAGGTAAGCTGCTTATCAGACGGTTCAGCGACAGAATCATCAATTAAATTCGGCATGTTAAACAACTAAATACGCTATTACAATATGGGAAATAACTTTTAATGAAATAATTTTATTTCCGTAAAATTTTGTAGTAATTACAAAATGACGAATATGACAGTACTACGTAGCAACTTTCCGAATTATACCAATTAATACGTTATTATTCTGCGAACATCCAAGTCATGTACTGCCTAAAAATTCCAGCTGGAGCATGGAATCCCACTCAAAGGAACAAAATAAATGGTGTGGCGCGTGTAAATAGCCCACACCTGGGGTGGATTACACCGAAATTATAAATTATGTGGTTCAATACCAGGAAAAAGGAAGCGCCCACTTACCTCCAGGACGATGGGTTGCGTGGTCTCCGACGGGCGCAACTTGAGGCGGCTGGACCATGTTTTGCCGTCATTCCAGAAGGCGCACGTCACAATTATATTTTTTACATTCTCACGAATATTTCAATGATCCGAGAGAAAAGTCGTATTGACAGTTTTTGAAGGAAGCGAGTAAATCACTTTTACACGAAAGGCACCATAAACAATGTCTGTTCCGGTAACCAGCCAGTGCCCTCAGCCACGATGATGATCAATCCCACAGATAAGTGGGCGCGAGAAGTTTTCCTGGTATATCGGCACACATACCAGAATAGAAACATAATTTTACCAATTAAACTAAAACCATCCTTATGGCGCTCGACCAGAGGTTGTCCTTTTCTTCAAGAAAGGTGACAAAAGCACTTTTGAAAAACAATCGACCAATTTAGCTTCTTAGCCATGTTTATAAGTTGTTTTCGAGAATCATTACGAATTGTCTCTCACGCAGGTTTGACGACTTCCAGCCTCCCGAACAAGCCGGTTTCCGAATAGGTTTCAATACCATAACCACATTCATACAATGCGGCAAGTTATACAGAAGACTGAAGAGTATAATCTGCCATTTTGCTTGGCGTTCGTGGACTATGAGAAAGCCTTCGATTCGATTGAGACCTGGGCGGTGTTACAGTCTCTCCAAAGGTGCCAAGTACAGGTATGTCGAGGTGTTAGGTATCTTTATGAAAAGCGAGTACCTTTCGCGCCTTCGTTTCGCCGATGATGTAGTTCTTATCGCTGAGACCTTGGAAGATCTTAACAGATATTATGTTAATAGTGCTGCCGCATGAATGGGTCAAAGATGAACATGGATAAGACGAAAATATGTCCAATGCCCATGTAGTACCCGCTCCAGTTAAAATTAGGTACCCTACACTCGAAGGTTACTTTTACCTAGAACAGACAGTCCAGTTAGGTTAGTCCAACTTTGAGAAAGAGATCCTTCGTCATATTTATCTCGGATAGCGTTCGGGAAGCTACTGAAAATCTTCGCGTCGTAATTACCTCAATGTCTCAAGACAAGTCTTTGACACGTGTGTGTTGCCAGTAACGACCTATGGAAGCGAGACGTAATCCTTTACTGCGAGTCTCATAAGAATCAAGGTCACACAGTGAGCAATGGATAGAGTAATGCACGGTATTTCTACGTGTTAGGATCAGAAATGAGGAAATCCTTTGGAGAGCCAAAGTAACCAATATCGCTCAAAGGATTGCTCCGCTGAAATGACAGTGGGCGGGACACGTAGCAAAAAGAACCGATGGCCGTTGGGGCAGAAAGGTTCTTGAAGCCGATGGATGGGAGTGGCACAGAACCTTTCGGTGTAGAGATCCTTGGGGTAGGTCTATGCTCAACAGTGGGCGTCGTACGGCTGACATGATGATGATGATGAATATCAAATTGAATGATATCGTAGTAGTGATTGAATAATTAAAAAGGCCTATTTTATGTTTCGTTAGACGGTAAGTTACGGTCCTGGCTGCACCTGCAATCGTTAGCACCCACGAATCCGCACTGGGCGCGCTTGGTGAGTCACTGCCCAAGACCAATTTCCCTATTCCATCCACAGGAAAGGCATGTATTCCAGCAGTGGGGACATTTATTAATAGGCTGATAATGATGATTTTTTTATTGCATACTTATAAAGTTATTTCACCAGAGCCAGCAGTAATAAGCAGGAGTTCGAAAATATAAAGGCGCAGTACCAGGTTCGTTTTTCAGCTGGGAAAAGAGTTTACGTAAATTCCATAACAAGGAGTTAAGCTTTCTGTTGAGATTTATCTTTCAAGTATAAAAACAAATAGGTTATCTCAGGCAACAATCTCGTCTAGTCATCTTAGTCGCTTAAGACTCAGTAGTGAGCAGACGTATGGCTCACTATCGCAGCCGGTCACAGTTTATGCGACACTCCTAGGCCAATTAGATATATCAGTAGTTCGGTTCTTTGTCCGGTTGACCGAATTGATGAGACTTTTCCATCTTAGTAGTTCGGTTGCAGACGTCACCTAGATTTTAGAGCCGCCTCTTGTATCAATATATCGATGCTGTCAATTAACTTTTATTTATAAAATGTTGGTCCTAATTCGCCATCTCCTATATTATTGTAATTTCTTGTCTTTATGTTTATTGTGTATTGTTTTTGTTAATTTAACCTTGTTATTTTCGAAGTAAAAGATTTCTCTTCATTTATTTCTGTCTAGAAAGACATCCAAATAAGTTACAAAAAAAACTATCCACTCCTTTACGAAATTTACACGTATATCAAAACAGATGAACAAGCATGATATTTCCGAACTTTTCGAACCTGTATCGCTTGACATGACTTACCGTATTTACGAAGTTAGCAGGCGCCAAATTCATATTACATATTATCGCCTCTCTCTCGGTGTCCACATAGGAACACGAAAATAAATAAAACTCACACCATTATTTAAATGTAGGTAAGTGTATTAGCAACGTTGGTACATGAGATTACTGGTTAATACTGCCGTGGAATATCAATACAACACCGCGATGTCCGTACATACAGAACATTCATAACAATTACCATTATTAGTGTCCATAATTTTTTATACGATAATCAAATAAATAAATAAAAATGAACATTATTATAATAATAATTATCACCAATAAAAAACTGTGCACGCTCCTATCATGCGACTTACAAATAACATTTTGCGCCTCTATCACATCTATAAATTTAATAACTGATTATTTTAATACATTAGGGACACTACTGAATAAATATAAAACGTGAGCATTCGTACAATAGGAGACTTTTACTTCTTAACAATATTTTTTTATATATATAACATTCGACTAATACGAGATTCGTTTGAAAAACAACTGACCATAGAATTATTTTCCACTAAACACTGCCCACTTCGGCCCTTAATACGTCCCTGTTTGTGACGAGACATAAGTACACTCCGATTGATTATTACAATCTCCTTGTATTTTTTGTTTTTTTCGGATCAAACATCGCACATTGTGTTATTTCACCTCAAAATTACCACTCCCTTGATTAGAGGTGAATCAGATAAAGCTCTTCATTCTAAGCGCAAAAGTAAAACTCCCACGATTCTAACTATAATAGTTTCGACGAAATCCCGGTTTTTCTTTTTTTGTACCACATTGTGAAAAAGAAATAAAAAAAATATTTTGTCTAAACTATTACAGTTATTTTATTTTTTACATTGCATTTCAAAAGGTATTATTTTTATCCATATTATGAGTCTTCTATGGCTGCCCTAGAGCTTGTAGGAACCGAGAAATCGGCGATTTAGTGATTTTCGTTTTTATTTTTTTGTGCTCATGTTATGCAATATTAAAGCTTATAATTTAGTTCAAAATGTAGTTAATAATGTAGACTATCAACTCAAAAAATAACAAGCTTTAACTCGGTGGTATATCGGAAATATTAAGAATTTAAATTTGTGGGACAATGTCCCACATTTTGAACACTTAATTTTGAAAACGTAGTTATGCTACTTTTTCAATATTATACTATAATAACTATATAAATACGTTGTTATTATATTATTTATTATTTATATAAGATTATAAATGTGTTTGGTATGTTTGTTACATAATCATCCACTTTTGTGGGCCAACTTGTTTGGATGAAATGTGGCATACAGGCATTAAGTTCTTCCCTATTAAGTGCAAATAAACAAATAAATCTGTTTAAACATTATCTGTCGTAAACACACTGTCTTCGTTATGAAGAACAGTTGTGAATTCATTTTCTTCACTTTCTATGCATGCAGTTTCGTCGTCGACATCACTGTTATCGTCATATAAACATCCCGAACTGTCCGGTTTTAATAAATTTATTACAGCCTGTGGCAGTGGCATTCTCATTCGGTTATTTTCACGATGTTTTAGCCGTATAGCCGATATCACAGGGTCGGATGACTCGAGCGCCCTGTGAAATAAGTCGGTCATGGTATGAACCCTAGAATCTTTCCGGCTGTGATGTTCTCTGTCCTGACGCCAAAACTTGTTCCTGGATTCTCCTGCCTGTTCGGAGAGTAGTCCAATGGGTAGCGCTGAATTCTCTATAATTTTCTCTCCGTGAATTAGGATTTTGTGAAGGGTAGTAGTCATAGGGTGCCAGTTGTAGTTTTCTACGTATTTTTTAGCTATATTTTTACAAAAAGTACCGAATTTTTGGGCGCCTATTGGTAATCCCGAATTGATGGCTATTAAAATTACATTTAAATCATCTACGAGCCATTTCTCAATATCAAGTATATTGGTAAACGTCTGGCGGCTTTGTTCACTTTTGAATACTCGACGGGCCGTATTACCATCACAATGTGGTACAAAAAAAGAAAAACCGGGATTTCGTCGAAACTATGATAGTTAGAATCGTGGGAGTTTTACTCTTGCGCTTAGAATGAAGAGCTTTATCTGATTCACCTTTAATCAAGGGAGTGGTAATTTTGAGGTGAAATAAAACAATGTGCATCGTATCAACTAAACATGAAAAAAACTCTTAATTTTCACCTACTATAATATTACTACAATTTACTAGTACCCAATTATTATATACTCGGTAAAAATAACTATATCGACGATGACAAAAAGTAGACGAAGAAAAAAATTATATGGAAGCCATTCAACTAAACTATGTTACACCATTTTTTATGTATTTGTTTTCATTCGAGCATAAATGTTTCAAAATTTAAATTCCATTAATAGTCTTCTTCAGTGTTTCACAAATCCATAAAGTCCCAAATGATTATTCATAACTTTCTTAATTGTGTGTTCCATGTAAAATAAAAAATAAGGAAAGTATAAAAAAGAAAATAAAAGAAAACAAATAAAAAAATCATTCATTTAATTCTCTGTGAGAGTGATAATAATATAATATTTTCTTTAATTATAAGTATCTTTAAGAGAGAATAATGTTCTATTAGATTCTACATACAACGTGACGTAAGCTATCATCTATTAGACATTCTATAGTCGTAACGACAAAAGAAGACGGTAAATATTTAAATAATTTTTCATAATAAAATTTTAAATAAAATATAAATAATCGAGTATTACTGTTCTAACAACTCTTAGGTCTATGGTTGACCATAGACTTATAAAATATTTTTAAACTGTGCTGTAACACTAGATATTACGATCTCAGATATTTTATGATGTTGCAACATATAAATTATATAAAAACATCTAGAGATCTTTTATTAATGTAAAGACAATTAAAAAACTGTGAAAATATACCATCGATAAATCTATACAAGGCCTACATTTACTTGATGGATTTAAGAATTATACAGAATTAAAACATAGTATTACAAAACAATTATAGTATCTAATAATGCCTACATACAATTACCTAATATTCTCACCTAAAAACACGATAAATAGAAAACTCGAGGAGGTTAAATTATTATTGGTAAAAACTAACTTAAACTTACAATATGTTTCATGGAAATTATTTAAAAAAGAATCGCTTCATAGAAGCGACGTCAACCTGGCGTACATCCTGTAATGAAATATGTTGTACATTCACTTACAATTTTAAAAATATCATACAAAAACTTACATTGACGTTGGGTACTTAAATCATTATAATGCACTGGGTGAGAGTAGTTTTGTACCAGATTATTCAGTCAACCATCCCACTGCAGACGTATCGAAATGTTGTGCATAAAAAATATATATCCAAAAACTTTGACGCAAACCCCTTCTTACATTTATCTTCTACCACGTAACCTTACAATATTGTTAATTATAAAATAAATAATTACATTAACTAAAATCAAAACGGAGGGAAGTAAAACGTAATCAAGACGTTGGCCGTTTATTGAAACAAAGGGCCAAACTTATTAGTCCCATGAACATCACATCGACCTGTGTTGTTCCATATGTGATACCTTATGATATCGGTTAAAGGATCATTTTCTAAATAGGCGATAAATACTTTAAATAAATCATCAAAATATCAACTTAAACTAAAGAGCTTGGAACCATTTTCCATCAACCTATGAAACCTGTAAGCTTTCTTGTCCTGCCGACGAGATCAATTGATACTATATCGATATAAATAGCTGCAATCAAGTTCCCATTTTGGTTTTTGTTACATTGTAACCCAATAGAACGTTTCAGTCACTATATAAGACGTGTTAGTCAAACTTTGTAAGCTTCAGGAGTAAATGCGTAGTTTATATCGATAAACTTGTTTGGTTTTTCTACTTAAAACTAATGCAGATGCCTGGAAAATACTGCTTTGTTCGACGACAGTCAGTGAATAAAGGACTCTTTCAAAGTTTGCCTAACAATTTGGTCTGTTACCGATGATGCAACATTGTGACAAACACCGCACTAAATCCTTACTACATTCTGCAACCGTAACACAAATAATGTCGAACGTCCCACGTGATGCATCTTAAGCTAAATACAAGACGGATACTCCTTAAGTTATATAAGAGGACAATAGACACCTATATTACAATTATTTGTAGAGGGTTGTGGAATGGATACAAAATATTACAAAATTTCTATCATTATCATATAATATTTAAACTATCAAGCCCTCACATAGAAACTACGGGAACTCATCAAATTCACATATAAAAAACATTGTAAATTCAATACCGTTTCGGTTCCGTTTCGAGTCATATAAATAATGTCAGGGCGTAATGAATTCTACTAAACTAATATGTATTTAAATAATAACAATTATATTCAAATCCCGATAATGTTTAGTGTAAGTTGTAATTGTTCATTTAGTAAGAACGTTATCATGACTACGATTTAAAATGAATGAATACTTAAAGCTATTCCTATCCCAGGGATACTATATTAGAGAGATACAGAATAACAGTAATTATTCAGCGAAAACGCGGTGAGCCTCGAACGAGAAGTTTATTTCATAGGTATAACCCCCTATAAAAGATATTTTTAAACACACAAATGGCACGTATTATGTACATAGGGAATTGACATGTTCTCTTTACAATAATACCGCTGGCGCGATATTTACTCATATTAGGCCGTGCGGCAAAACAAAAATGTACTTACACTCGTGATCAATTGAAAACTCGCACATTATTTGCCTAATACAAAATGTTTACAAATTTTGACTTATTGTAACTTATATGATCTGTCTCAGTCTATTTTCAAATACGCAACAGAGACAAAACAAGTTCTGATTTTGCTTGTGATCATTTAAACATCCCATTTATATACTTTTGATTATCGTCTTATGTCGATCAAAGTCAAAGTTGTATATAATTTGATAAGTCCACTTTTATAAATATTCCATTTAATAAAACATTAAAGCAACCACTACTAGAAAATAAAAACTTATAATTTAAACCATTCCTTTTAAATCACGTCATACCATGGATTTTTGTGAATATCCAAATATAGACATTCAAATATACGGAATGTTTTCCTTTGTAGACATAAACATTAACATACTGGCAAATATATTTTGATCTTAAAACACATAATTGTATACCCTTCAATAATAACACTTCCCATGTAGTAATAAAGTTCAAATTACCTTTAAAAAAATAATAGTGCTCATCTATTGACAACTTCTTTAAATTGTTGTCAATTTATTTTAAATCTCAAAATGTCGCTTAGCCAGATCCTCCTGGATAAAGTTTTTAATGAAATTAAGAAATCATTTCCTGATTGACACTTTGTCAAATGATTTAGTCTCTATGAAATCAATCATTTTAACGTACGGTTACTCAGGTCACGTTGAGAGCGAAGTGAAATGAAGCAAATTTTCTCATATTATATACTTAAGTTAATACTATGAACTTTACCTTCACTTCCAATGTGACCACATATTAACCATTCTTAATGTCTTTCGTGCACTCGAGTACCAAATTTAATTGCACAATAATGTTAATAAACTGCAATGAGAGCTATATTAGCTGAGCTATATGAGCTGTAAATGAGTATTAACTTTTACGACAATGACTATATTTTATATATTGTATAATTTTCCATCAGATTTGAGCGAATTTCTTATCATAAGGAAATGAGTAAAAGAGACATGTTTCATTCATTGCTGAAATTTCAATTCTACATCTTTAATTGAAAAGTGGACAAGAATATGTTTGGGATACTTCTCAATTTTCATGATTATTTTCACAAAATTGTCATTTACGCTCTAAGTTTTAATGTCCAACCAATCTATGCGTTTCTATTAAATTACAGTCAGCATCAGAAGGAGTAACTTCAGTAGACAAAAAATTGTACGCATCCAAATTTCAACTAACGTCTACACGATTACATTTTATAAATTGACGTATTCATATTATCGTTATCCAAAAGATTTGATAATTTGATTAAATACTTAACAATTTTACGGGATTTTATTATTACGATTGCCTTTCAAATGTATACATGCAACCCTTTGATAATTTATTTATAATAATAATATCTAATGCTGACTGCATGTTAAAACAAGAAATAGTACACAGCACATTCTTAGACTGAAATATAAAACTTTGAAATAAACCAAGCGTTTATATAGCATGTAAAAATACACCACCATACATACACCTTATAGCAAGTGACGTCAAGTTCTTTTACAAACATTCACAATAACATTCAATAAAACACAAATTATACACTTGACTTAAAGATGATTTCATTTAAAGAATGGTCAATATTACATAATTTGTCAAAGATCTGCTGTAACAATAACAATCCTAATTTTCTCTCGGACTCTTCTTTGGCGGACAGAACATGAAATGTTTACAATAAATTATGTAGATTACATAGAAAAAAGGGCCTTAACTGCTTGCCATAAGGTGGTCATTGCGAGGCTCACTGACGCGCGGAGACTAACGACTGCTAGGTGGCATCGGCATCTGCGCTTGCACACCTTGCAGGTTCATCGGCCGTCCGTTCGGGTTGCCCATGCCGAGTCCATCTTGGTAGTTATTCGCGTCCATCGTGTCATCGTTCTGAAAGTATTTGCAGTTTATGCAATAATGGTCCTTGTGACAATCGTTACAACTTTATAAGCTACAAAATCCTACACAATGTAATAATGATAAAATCAGGACGGTGGTTACAAATTGTCATTAAAAACGCCTTTATTATGTAACAACAAGAGCTATATACGTGGTATTCAAAGTGTAATACGACTTGCACGTAATAGAATGCCTCAATGATCAGAAAAGCAGTTATTATTGATTCAGTTTTAGCGTTAGTAATAAATAATTCAACTTAATCATCACAAACAGGACGCACACATAAAAGCTTTTTACAAAATTACCTTATTTCCAATCGTGTGCAGAAGCAGGCGGCTGCATTTTGTTACATGATGGCTGAAGCTTGATTGAATGTGTGAAGATGTATGTAAGTCATGGGTGAATTTATGTGCTACCTGATCTCCCATAAATTCTTGCCATAATTAAAATATAAAGTTATAATTCTAGATATTTTAGATTTTATTAAGACCCTTCGTAAATTCTTATGCGCTTATTTAAAACATATAATTAACAAATTTTTCGGTGCAAATATAGTTTGCCTGACCATATCTTCAGCTCGTTTAACAACAATCATTATATACATTCATTACACAGGTTAATATAACTTTAACGGCTCCAGTAAAATGTCGGTCATAATAAAATGATTCCGTGTTTTACCTGAGATTTCATTACTCCTGACGACAGCTCTCCTTAGCTCCGACTGAGCGTACTGTCAGCTTTTCTGAACAAGCGAGAGGTTGCGTCTCTAATCTCGGCCCTATTGTTTTGGTGATACGGTGTTATATACCTCGCGGTGTCGTCGAATTTTTAGATCCTCGTACCGGGTGCCGCCCGTGGATGCCATTGGTCGACTGAGAGTGCTATTGGCGTTGCTAGACAAGCAAGAGGTTGCGTCTGTACACTCGGCTCTATTGATTGGGTGATACTATGTTATTTACCTCACGGAGTCGTTGGATCGTGCGATCCTCGTACCGGGTGCCGCCTGTGGATGCCATTGGTCGGCTGAGCGTGCTATTGGCGTTGCTAGACAAGCAAGACGTTGCGTCTGTAAACTCGGCTATATTCACTGGGTGATACGGTATAATTTACCTCACGGTGTCGTCGGATCGTGCGATCCTCGTACCGGGTGCCGCCCGTGGATGCCATTGGTCGGCTGAAGATGCTGTTAGCGTTGCTAGACAAGCGAGAGGTTGCGTCTGTAATCTCGGCCCTATTGTTTGGGTGATACGGCGTTATTTACCTCGCGGTGTCGTCGGATCGTGCGATCCTCGTACCGGGTGCCGCCCGTGGATGCCATTGGTCGGCTGAAGATGCTGTTAGCGTTGCTAGACAAGCGAGAGGTTGCGTCTGTAATATCGGCCCTATTGTTTGGGTGATACGGTGTTATTTACCTCGCGGTGTCGTCGGATCGTGCGATCCTCGTACCGGGTGCCGCCCGTGGATGCCATTGGTCGGCTGAAGATGCTGTTAGCGTTGCTAGACAAGCGAGAGGTTGCGTCTGTAATATCAGCCCTATTGTTTGGGTGATACGGTGTTATTTACCTCGCGGTGTCGTCGGATCGTGCGATCCTCGTACCGGGTGCCGCCTGTGGATGCCATTGGTCGGCTGAGCGTGCTATTGGCGTTGCTTGGCGAGTGAGGCGCGCCGCCCGCACCAGACATCGGAGTACCTTGACCTGTCCCCACACCCGCTTATGTACACGATGATGGCTTATGTGGGCCACTGTTCGTTCATTACTGACATCGAAAATGTATACTGGTTGATTTTTTGTTGAATACTAGTTTTTATATGTTTGTTTTAGGTGCTGTCCTGAATCGCTGTTTTAGAATGGGTAGATTTTATTTAATACTTTAGTTAATAATCAAGTTTGGTATTCAATTGAAAGGCTATAGATTTCCAGGCAAATGAAAAGACAGTAAAGTGCTTAATGAAAGAGCGTAGCTTACATTTCGACACAATGGTCAAAAATTCAACCACGAATAGCGCTTTCCAGTGGGTTGCCTTGAAAATGGTGTTTTTATCGCCTGGTCAGATACACATATTGTTAGTTGTAATTAATGAAACACTCGCTCAGAAAAACTAACTTTTAATCGATGGTAATGAATGAACAGTTATTATTGGCATTAGCTGCATTTTCATCACAAACTTTACACAACATGTTAACTTAGCAGGCAATATATGCCTCATATTACTCGTAAAATGCAAATCAAAACATTTTGTTATTGAATTTAGCATTGTAATGAAAACGTAGCACAAAACAAGCACAATGAAATTCACTTAATAGTATGAAATGACTTGACCATAGCGTAATAAAATCTAATAGTGAGGTAACTTAACCACTGAGATAGGTGCGGTACAGGACATACTATGATATAGAAAGAAAGAACTGAGCATTCCTTAACCAGCTGTAAGTAAGCTGTAAGTGAACACAAACTACTGTCCTCTCTCTCGCTCGGTCCCTCTATCATTCTTATCTACTCAATAGGCTAGTTGACTCATGTCGAATTGTATTAAATAAATGTTTACTTCTTAAAGTTTTTGGTCTAAGGAACCTGAATATATCGATTTCACTTCATAAAAGCAGAAGATTGCTGTAGAAATTTAATTTAAGAAAATAATTTCTAGTCTATACTTTTTAAACACTAAAAACGCTGTTCGCCACATCCGCCATGATTGTGACGTCTCTTTTAGTAAACAACTAAATGTCATTCATACATAACTTGAATTATTAAAATTGATACTAAATGAAGAGACTTAAAATATTATTCAATGAGTACTTACATCAAAGTGATCTTCGCAAAAATAAATTTTACTATGAGTCGATAAAGTTGCAGGATCACTTTTAGCAAGTTCTAACCAGCGTAGGTTAATTTATTTCGGCACTTTAATCCACAACTTTCCTGGAGTCTTCAAGGATGTGTTTTTACATTCTCGTACAATACAATAATGATAATTACTATATTTTTCGTGGTATTTATTAGAAATCATGTTTTCTTTTTTATTATAAACTCAGATAAGTTATTTTCTACGTGCTTACGAGTTTTTGTTTACTATCGTCGACGTCATAGCATAGATAATCTATAGACTAAAATGGCCGACAGCGTTTTTGTATGTCCATGAAAAGTCTATTTTAAAATTAAAGATTTGTAGCTTTCTAGGTCTCAAAAAAATACAATACATTTTTTTCGGCCTAATAGAACATTTATTAACCATTTATAACATTTTTCCAAAAAGGGTCAACTAGCCTATTGTACTTAAAGTACCCCTTATTAATAAACGAGGAAGAAGCTTAAGACTAGTTACGCCATGTTTTGTTCATATCACTCAAATATCATTTGTCTTTTAATGAACAGAGACAAAACATGGAGTAAGTAAGCCAAGCTTAAACTCCGTTAATTAATACGGGGGTAACAGTTTAACAGGGAACGCTGAGTAACGCTTAGCGGGCATCCAGGCCACCGGAGCTATACTGGGATGCATGTTTACGGTTACCAAGGCAACCATAGTTACCGATTGTAGGCATTAAAGCACAGAGACATAAAGGTTCACTCACTATAACATTTTATTACTCTATGACTTAACAGTGCATAAAAAAAGACTCTGTTAGTTTGAAAGAAAGGAATAGAGTTGTGCAAATTATATCTTGCTATCTTTAATATGGTATCAATAATGTTATTTCAATTTAAAGATACTTCGATATCAATCTCAATCACAGACACTTAAGTCGACAATGAGTACTATATTTTTATCTTTATTGCTTCATTTCCAAAGAAAAATTCAGCTAGGGTTTGTAAAATAAAAGAAGTATATTTAAATAAAGCACAACTTAATACGACACTTGCTTGTTATGGATATGACTGAGAACAAGATTCCAGATTCCATTCCATTCCTTAGTACTCGTAGATTACCAAGTTACATTGTCAGCAATGGCAGTACTATTTAGGAGCTCGATGGCGCAAGTGGTTAGCGCGTTCGGCTGCGATCGTTGAAGTTAAGCAACTTTCGCAGTGGTCAGTCATTGGATGAATGACCAAATATTTACTATCTCGAGCTCCTCCGTACAACGGCACGTTAAGCCGTTGTTCCGGCTGCATCTGCAGTCGTGATCACCCACCAATCCGCACTGGGCCCGTGTGGTGGTCATGGCCAAATCTCCCTATTCCATCCATAGGGAAGGCCTGTGCCCCAGCAGTGGGGACTTTAATGGGCTGATGATGATGATGATTACCAGCAATGTACAAGGAAAAAATATTCTTCGCACAAAACCGGGTAATGTTAAAAGAAAAAAAATCCTTGTGCATTGCTGGTAATGTAACTCGATAATGTACGAGTCACAAGGGGATTGCAGCATGAGATTATGCTTTGGACACGCACGGTTCTATTAACATTTATACCACACGTACTATACAAGTATTTATTTAGGTATGAAAAAACACATGAAAAATATGTGTCTATATCTTTACTAATGTCACATAGATCGCCTTAAAGCTCTGTGAATTTCGGAAGCGGCAAGTAAAGCAGCCATCTTACATAGTGACTTTGGGTGTATTCCGAAATATAAACCAGTACGCTGACCAGCGGTAATGACGTCATGATTTCGACGCCATATTGCACTGGTGTAGTAGTAGTGTTGTCAATATGGCGTCGAAATCATGACGACATTACCACTGACCAGCGTACTGGTGTTTGATTCGGAATACACCCATTAACCCCACCCCAACTATTTTATTTACATACATATGTAAACCCATTTGTCGGGCCTATCTTTATATATAAAAATCAATTGCTGTTCGTTAGTCTCGCGAAAACTCGAGAACGGCTGAACGGATTTTTCTTATCTTGGTCTTGAAATGTTCGTGGAGGTCTAGGGAAGGTTTAAAAGGTGAGGATCGATTTTGATAATTCTGCTTTTGTTTGAATCAGTCAGTACATCAATCGGGAGAGATGGTCCAATATTATATTCGCGAAGATCTGATGATAGCTTTCGGAGACAAACATTGGAACTTTTCAATTACAACAAACAGTATGAATTCCTGTTTGGCTATTTAAATAAATTTGAAAGAGACAATGCAGACTGGGTATGCCTGTACTTAGTCGATGTTACTCTGATTTATAAATACAGGAAAATAAAAACTATTTCATAAAAATAAAAAACTGACTTCATTACTTGTACGTCTCACACAAAAACCTATTTCTAATAAATTAAAAAAAATATTCTCTTATAACTTAAATATACTAGTCACACATGGTTTTTGATCACATCAAACAAACAGATACATTTTTTATAGTTTTGACAGTATCTAAAATAAAGTACTAATTTCGGCATTTAACATGAATATTGAGAACGATTTTACTTTTCTGACAAAAAAATGGTTGCCTGTAAAGTCGGTTTTACGGGCGAAGATTTTACGTGACAACGTCTTTTTCTCGGTAGAATATTTATTGATATGAATATAATTAAATTGCACAATAGGAACAAGGAATTGAATGAAAATAAGAATTGCACAAATTTTAACTATAGAAATATATTTTGTTTACTAAAACATTGTACATGTAAACTTAAACTTAACACGAGAGACTCATCGTAACGTTACCGAGCGTTACACTTTTTCATAAGTGACTCCCAGCCGCAACCTAATTTAAGACGTTGTCACGTCAAAAAAGTACTTATTTCATAATATTACTAAAAATCATTAAATAGAAAAGGATTTTTTGATCTATTGTCACGTGAAAGAAAACGCCAAGGATTGGCTGAGCCTACAATAACATCACCTGTTTGTAAACATGCAGTCGAAATGACATAACTTAGTACTGTTTGACGTTAAAATGAGAGCCATGTGACGTCACCCGCCTGTTGTAAAACACGTCATATTCGCTAGAAAAACGTTTAGCGACATATTTGAAGTTTTTTTTTTATTGATAAACGCAACAGAATAATAAATATCCAAATTTTTATGAAGTCACTATACACTTTTTCGTTTTCAAAAACTTGCAAAATAACCTATTAAATCACAGAGTCAAAAACACTGCTGAAATAAAATATTCCAAGATTATTCTTCGTTAATTAACAACTATATGCCTATATAATTAAGGATAGTTTTTCTTACCGCTGCTATTAGAAGTGCCGCGTGGTTGCGCAGCGCGAGCCGGCGTTAGGAAATCAGCTTCACGCCACCCGTGTTTGCGGTATACTTCACGTAACTCCGCGTGCGACCACATGGTCATTAATACTTGACCTAGAGGAGACAAATAATGAAATACATTATAACTATTAACGGAATTGTTAGACGGAGTTACTCCGTGATCATGGCGCTTGCAACAGAGCCGAAATATCGGAGACTCATAAAAACAAGGTACATGGTAACAATCCCGTTAATAGCTATAATGTTAGTAAGCATGAAAGTTTAAAACAATATAATGAAATACATCAATAAAAATGCAAATAACTTGGTATATACATCACTTGCGTGATCAGCAGTGTGCAAGTCTGTCTCGAAATCGACTGGACTTTTAATTTGCTCGTCATAATTTTACTTCCGTGCTTAAAACAGTTTTCCTTTCTCAAATGTTTAATACGTGTAGTAATTTTTCACCATGTACTTGCTATTACCACAAAGAACGTAACTGCCGAACATGGGTGCAGGGTCGGGTTAGCACAAAGCATCATTTCTGTGACGCACACATCGTCGTTATTTTTCAAGCATTCACGCAGGCTCAAGCAAATCTTATTCGCAACCAGCGACACGTGTTGAAATAATCAATAGCAGTAAATTGAGGTAATCATTTCCTCCGTATTCCACCCATAGGGAAGGCCTGTGCCCCAGCAGTGGGGACATTAATAGGCTGATGATGATGATGGTGATTTCCTTGGATGGCGGGAGCCGTCCGTACTTTCTATTTTGTGCTAACAATCCCTGTCCATCCCATCCGGAACAAGGAGTAAAGATGTGTGTTTACATACTCATTTACTACTCATTATCTTTATAATTTTTTGGATTGAAAACCTCTGTCTGATCATGTAGTTTATACACAGAATTTAATTCTATCCTTAGCGGCAACCTAGGTCATATGATGAATCATTATAATGAATGAAATGAGACGGCGGAGTGGTATGAACGTCGGGTTTCAAGGTGTCGCCTTCTCGAAAGGTCCCGGGGGGCAGATGTTTGTGTCATGAATACGAGCATTTGTACTCTAGTCATGGATGTTTTTCTATATAAATATACTTATATATGTATCAGTATATGTATTCTAGTATCCCATTACACAAGCCTACAGTGATTACTTTGGGGCTAGGCTAATTGGTGTGAGTATTGGAAATATTTATTTATTTATTATAATGAATGCTATACAATCCATTCTTAACTCACCTGCAAATTTGAGCACTCTAGGCGTGTGACGATGGCGCTGTTTCGTTAAATTCAACAATCTCTCCACTCCTCCCGCTTCTAGCAGCGACCGGGAGAATTCACCGCTCTTCTTTATGACTTCGTTGAGCGTCGCCAATACTGCCGCTATCGTGTCATCTGATGTACCCTGCTGGAAAAAAATAATGTTATTACCAAAGTTTAAGAATAAAAAGATCAGTAGAAAATAGTTTATATTAAATAAGCGCGTTCAAAACAGAGCGTACTACAGTAATTCGTTTATGAGAATTAGGCAACTGGGAAATGACTCAGAGTTGTGAAATAGTTGTAAAAGAAACTCCTATTTATAGAAGACGCAAAACACTTTAATTGGTACGGATATAGACGAATAAAGATTATAGACTTAATAACGAACTATGTGGGATCGCTAATAGCGATTTTGTCCACATAACTTTTACTCGTATCGGTGGTTTTCACTGGGCAGTTTTAGAAAGAAGTCTCATATCATATAGTTACCCAAGATTTTGTTCCGACAATAGTCGATGGCTATGTTCTATCGCAAACGGAATTGTGAACTCTACTATACTGTAATAATGATTACTTTAGTAACTCACTTGATTGTGCTGTTGATTCCCGCTTGGTAACTTCTATACGATGTCTGACATCGCGTATTTGAATATGTGTTCCTTCTAAAGAAAATATAACTAGAAAAAATTCCACGCGGACCAGGCAGCAGGCAGGCAAAAGAAATAGCAATTATAGTTATAATAAAAATTATAACTATAATTGCTATTTCTTCTTTCAAATGTTTAATACTTGTAAAAGTATTCATTTGACATTGTGGGTTACCTATGATGGCGAGATGGCGCTGCTTGCAGCTTAAGAATGGCTAGAAGAATTTCGACGCGGTCCGTGAGGGCCGCGGTAGCATAATTGGTCAGTGCATTCGCCCGGATTGCGAGGGGGCGGGTTCGAGTCCCGTCTGCTGCCTGGGCCGCGTGGAATTTTTTCTAGTTATATTTTCTTTAGATTTAAACATAAAGCAGTTACATGCTTTAAAATAATAAAAATTATAACTATGTGTTCCTTGTTTCACTAGTCAATGACTAAGTTCTATTGTGTACGGAATTATGAACTTTCCGATTTTGTAATAGTGATTATTTTAGTTACTCACTTGATCGTGCTGTAGATTCCCGCTCGTAACTTCTGTACGAGGTCTCACATCGTGTATTTCCCGATGAGTTCCTTGATCCGCTTGTCGTACACTAACATCTATCGCATACGGAATAATGAAATCTACTATAGTGTAATAATTACTGTTTTAGTAACTCACTTGATCGTGCTGTTGATTCCCGCTTGGTAACTTCTGTACGAGGTCTCTCATCGCGTATTTTCCTATGAGCTCTTTATTCCGTTGGTCTATCGCCAAGTTACGTAAAGCTGTCGCTACCGCGCAAACTACGCGGTCTACCTCCATCCGTAGGAGTTCCACCAAGATTGGAAGACCTGATTTACGGAATAAATATATTTTTAGTGCAATGCCAAGCAACAGTTTAAGCTAAAGTGATAAGATAATGCAGAAGATTGGCTAAGCAAAGAGTCAACTGAAAGACCAAATACTTCATTGCATATTCCATAGATGGAACTAGAACTTTGTATGTGACAGGATGAGACAGATAATAAAGCAGTTTTATTTCATTCTCATAACTATACTTGAACATTGCGTAGATTTTGGTCGGTATATGGAAACAATAAAAGTACAAGAGTTTGTCAGCTAATACATTAAAATAGCAAAAAAACTGAGAATTGATTCCCCGAAAAATAGGAAAGCGCGTATTAGGTATTTCTTTTCCTGCTAGTCCTTTGAGAAATTGATTTGTGAGTTAGGGGATGTAAAGGAAAGACAGTAATGTAGATTGTATGTAAAACATATAAGCATTAATATCTTAATTAAAATTATATATCCCTTTTGAGCCCAGTCATATACAAGATTGATTTAAAAACTAAAAAAGAACACTCCCAAATCGATCAAATCAAAACAGATCGAAATTTCGTCAGTTACATTAACGGAAAAGGCATAGCTTTAGTTAGGCAAAAAAAAGCATTTTATCATCTTTAGTCACATTAATCACTAACAATTACCTTTCTCCTTCCTGACCGCGGCCCTGATGTCGATGGAGGGTTGCCAGTAACAGGCCGCAAGATTCTGTAACGCTCCCGCAGCCGCTTCTAAGGTTTCGGGGTTGGAACATGTCTGTAGTAACGCCATGTATAATGGTACTACCTGCAGGGAAACAATAGAGAAATGTGGTAGTGAATTAACTGTTATTGTAGTAGCATTAGAGCTGATTTTATCTATACATATAATAAAATGGTAGGAAAGTCAAAACTGTACATTGAATATTTCTTTAAAAGAATACTTTCGGTGTAATCTACAATCGATACCAAAGCCAAAAATATAGTTTATAGAATTTTTGTCTGATTGTCTGTCCGGGATATACTCAAAAAGTACTGCATGGATTTATGTATTGCAAGTGTATGATATTAGTATGACGTAATTTAAAGATGACTCCCAGCAGTGGGGCGTGAATAGGCTGATGATGAAAGATTTTTGATGTGTAACATCTTTCCTCTCGCTTTCCTGCAATTTGTGGGTGATTTCGTGTAATGGGACGAAAGTGTGTAACAGGAAGTCGCGAAAGCGCGCGCTATTTGATTTGATTTTAGAACATAATGTTCAAATGGCTTATTCCTTTTGTAGTAGGTTTTATTTCTTTTTTTACTAATATAAAGTGAGGTTTCAAATGTTACACATCATACGCGACTGCTGTAAGGCTCGCTCGTTTTTTTTATTGCAGACCATACCTCTGGTGACCACAGCATTTCCGTTCCTTTCGGAACGCTGTAGCCAAGCTGCGTGGTAGTCGCGTCTCCCAAGGGTTGCGATTCTGGTTCGCTCTTTCCTAGTGGACTGGTCGAGTTTGACGAAGATGATCCTTCCTTCTTCTTTTTACTACCGCCAAAGCAGCCGAGGTTTTCGCCTGAGAGGTTTTTTATATCATAAATTATTTCTAGCTACACGATTGTCCAAAACAAGGAGTGTAATATTTTATTATGTACAACGAAATCTAAGTAACAGTGGTAAAATATCTGTATTTTTAACCGATCCATTCTGCAATACGATCTTTATTACTAAGCTACTAAAGTTGTACTTGGCAGCTAATAGCAATTTATACTCTCTCTGTCTTATTCTAAAACGCGGACTAAATTAAGTCTTGGTTTAAACCTAATGTTGTCTCCGTCTTCTTTTTAGTTAACAAAGGTGACAACATTAGTTTAACTTTAGTCTACGTTTTGCAATAAGGCGATCTATGTCACAAACATGTGGTCGGTTTGTGACGGAAGTTATTCTCAAAATGTTCAAAATCGTCGATCACATATTATTCTTATCTAATTTAGGACTTTATATCACATATTAAGGTTAAAATCAAAACTTTGTTTTAGCCATTTGGATTTATGAATGTACACACACCCCCTTGTTAATAAACGAGGAATAAGCTGCGACTAGTTAGGTCGTGTTTTGTTTATATCACACAAGGGCCATTTGTCATTCAATGAACAGATATCTAATTGATAAGGGGGTTAGGATACAGTGTTTGTTTATGCCAAGTATGGCACATTACCCATTTTATTAATTAAACATGAAAATGTCACCTTTAGATGCACTAGCTTGTATCCTCGCCTGTCCCGACGACTGTGTGGGCGGTGCTCTCGTGTCGTACAACGGATCTTCGATTTCTTGACACCTGCGCAAATCGAGATAGTCGTATTGACAACATTAAAGACTAATGTTTGAGTTACTTAGATATTAAAATAAATTACCATTTCACAAAATAATGTCGTTTTTCTTATGTTAAAAGGGCGGCAAACAAGCGTATGACCCGCATGATGGTAAACGGCCAGCATAGCCTATAGACACTTGCGATACTAAAAATATCACTCGCATTGTTTGCCTACCCTAACTCAAACCCCTGCCGCGTGGAGCCCTGGAACCTTACTCAACGACAGAAACACAACACCAACAAAAGGTAGTGTTATTTTAGTGTGATCTTCTGTAAGGTGGAAGTTACTTCCCCAGATGAGCGCTCCAATCCGAGCGGAAAATCCGCTAAATCCGCAAACGATGAATTGTTCCTAGTACCGTGATATGTATGTAAGTCGTGCTCTAAAAGTTTCAGTTTCTAAGGTTTGCCAATTCTCACAATCTTGTCAAAGATGGAAACTGCTTCTTTCGTGCTTTTTCATCATGAATCCAGGTAGCTAAAAAGACAATATACACTCAGCGGCACGGAATCTTGGCCAAACACTTCTTAAGCTATAGCATAAGTTTCAAGTGTTCACAACAAGTGTTTTTTATGAAGGTGGGTCATAAAAATGCTAAGCTTTGTTTTAAGAGGGTAATTCATTAAGTTTGAGCGTTTCACGGTGTGAATTGTGAGATTTAGTCACATCGCGTATTTTAAGCAATATAATTGAAGTTTTGAATGTTGTTATGTGTGTAGTTTACTGTAGCGTTTTTTTTTTATTTTTGTGTTGTTTTGGATTTTATTAAAGTGCAAACTTACTAAAAAAGCAAAAAAAATGCCTTTAACGCCAGCACAAGTTGCACAAGCGGTAGCCCTAATTGACCAAGGGCTCACCCAACGTGAGGTGGCTATTGTACTCAATGTGCCGCGTTCTTCAATGCAGTACGCCTTAAAACGATACCGTGAGATAGGTACCTATCGCCGTAGACCAGGCAGTGGAGGTGTAAGATGCACATCGACTCGGGACGACCGTTTTATCGTTTTGGAAATTTTGAGAAACCGCTACCTCACTGCGGTTGAGATACGACAGCGACTCCAAATTGCAAGAGGTGTGAATGTAAGTCAGCGTACGATAAGAAGAAGAATGGAGGAGGTGAATTTAAAAGCGCGAAGACCAGCCCGAGGTCCAGAACTCCCCAGACAGCACCGAGTAGCTCGGCTTCGTTTCATCCGAGAACACGCCAACTTGACACACGAGCAACGGGCTAAAGTTTTGTTCACGGATGAGTGCAGAATCGCGTTACGTGCACCAGACGGTCGATTACGAGTGTGGAGAAGAAGAGGAGAGAGGTTTCTTCCTATTACTACTACTGAAACTGTTAGTTTTCATGGAGGCTCCATAATGGTATGGGGAGGAATAAGTTCCTACGCTCGTACGGTGTTGGTTATCATTGACAATCGGTTAACTGCAACTCGATACATTAAGGAGATCCTACAGGATCATGTTGTACCCTATATGGGGCTTATTGGATACGACCAGTTCCAGTTAATGCACGATAATGCACGCCCACACGTTGCACGATGCGTTAAGGACTGCCTGCAAGACCTTGGTATTCAAAAATTACAGTGGCCTGCGCGTAGCCCGGACTTAAACCCCATAGAACACATATGGGACATACTCAAAAGAAAAATTAAATCCTATTCTAACCCGCCGCAAACGCTAGGCGAGCTTCGAAATGCAGTATTGACCGTATGGGAGACCTTATCGCAAGTTGATGTTAGAAACATCATCCAAAGCATGCCAGATCACATGCAGGCAGTCATCAGGGCAAGGGGTGGAAACAGCCGATACTGACGTGTGCAAAAAAAAAACAAAAAAAAGTTGACTTTTCAGTGTGCACTGTTTGAAAATTAAGTAAAAGTTTCTGTGAAAGTGACACTTTTCATCAAAATTTTCTTTTTGATGCAATAATTTCATGAACACTTAAAAAATTCTTAAAAACCACTATAAAAGTGAACATGGGTTAGATCTAAATTAAATAAAATGCAAAAATAAATATTGTATTCAAATCAAAGCAAAAGTAACGGGTGGCCAAGTTTCCGTGCCGGTGACGACTAAAACGCAGTTCTCGACTATCTTGGTGCCTATAGCGTTGGCTCGTACTGCGGCGCGTACGGTGTGCAGTAAAGCTTCGGGTAAGCCGGCGAGGCAACGTAAACGACGTGTTACGAAACACTATACTCTAAAACCCTTATTAATAAACAAGGAATAAACATAGACTAGTTACGCCATGTTTTGTTCGTGTCACTCAAATGCCTTTTGTCATTGAATGAATGAAAATTCGGCGTATTCAAAAGAAAAACCTTTGTATGGTTTGTCTACATTTTGTCTCAAGCGAAGTTGAATAGAGTATAGAGGCAACGACATATCATCATCAAGTTACCTGCATGACAGGTTCCTCAACACATAGATGCAATTCATGATGATCTTGATTGTGATACTTGGCTACAACTTATTTCTTCATACTTCCTAATCATGACTGGACCAGTAGGGTAAGACCGCTTTGTAATTCTCACAACCTTGATCGAGATACCTACCTGCAGATCGTCGCTTCTTTATCATTACACAAGAGAACCAATAACAAGTTACCTGTATGACAGGTTCCTCAGCACGCAGACGCAGTTCTCGACGATCTTGGTGCCTATGGCATTGGCTCGTACTGCGGCGCGTACAGTGTGCAGTAAAGCTTCGGGTAAACCGGCGAGGCAGCGTAAACGTCGCCGCGCGTATTCGCCCGCGGATGAAGCGTTGCGGAGTACGCCGGATGCGTTGCGAAATACTAAAGGAAACGACAGATCATCCTCAATGGTCATCGCAATATTCATATTAAATACAGATACCAACAATTGGTACATTATTTTTCATACTGTCAAGTAGTCTTTACGAGATAGAAAAGAGGTAAATGAAGACAGAGAAAAGAAAACAAATAAGAGATAAATATTATAAATACCTGTGGACCAGTAAGTGTCTCCAGGGTTGGTGGGATGCCACCCAGAATGGGGCACAATGACCTTGTTGACTATAACTTGAGCCGCGTCGTCGATGATCGACTGTTTGAGGTCTTCACACGAAGACATGTTCCATATTACACCAGTAACTAACTCCTTCACCTGATAAGTATGTTTGAAATGAATATGAGCACTAATACTTCTTTCTTTAGAAGCCTGTCTAACATAAGTAGTTTAGTCTCCATCCGCCTTAAGACAAAACGTAGACTAAAGTTAAACCTGGTAAAACTAACCTAACTAACAAACCTAAAACTGATGCTGTCACTTTTGTTTGCTAAAAAGAAGACTGAGACTATCTTAGGTTTAAATCAAGATTAAATTTAGTCAGGGTTTTAAAATAAGGCGGTTTTATCTCCCAAAAGAAACAACTGCTGAATTACTTATTTATTCTGTTTTTATGCACACTAACCATAAACTCATTTTAAACGGGTATAAAACGCGATTTATTGCATTTTAACATTTATTTCGACGTTTCAGATCTTCGTCTGAAGTAAATCAAAAGTGATAAAGGACGGACGGTCGGTCGGGATGGTTGTATGTCGAGAATAATTGTTATAAGGTCCACTTGCAGCAATTAAGCTAAATCCAATTTAATTGAAAGTAAGATATGACCTATACAATAAATGCAATTTTGTCTATTTACTTTGGGATATAACTAGTTTTAGTTGCTTCGTGATATAGCAAATTTGCTGGAATTGGACCTTATTCAATAAATTGTGGTTCATACCTATTTAAAATTAGTCCTATTAAATAATCTGTACCCTTAGCACGAACCATTATCGAATTCGAATAGTTGCAATTCGATCTATATAAACCTCAAATGTGTACTGACTTTTAGTTTTCGCTGCCTCCGTTGTGGCGCTGCTGTTCAAGATTCCATACAAAATTTGACAATGACAGTTTACACTCGTAAACGTAACGAATTCGATATTGGTTCGTGCTAAGAGTACTGTTTCTTAGGGAGATAAAAAATAAGGTAGAAATAGGTTATTTGGTTCCAAATAAAAAAAGGGCTACCTCAAGGACCAGTATTAGGACCACGATTATTTACCAAAAAGGGCTACCTCAAGGACCAGTATTAGGACCATGATTATTTACCAAAAAGGGCTACCTCAAGGACCAGTATTAGGACCACGATTATTTACCTCCATATCTGTAGCTCGACACAATAAAGCCATCAGCGCTGGAATTCCACCAGCGTCTCGGATAGCCCGTTTGTTTTCATCGTTCTGTCTTCCGTATGAGAGGTTCCTTAGGGCTCCGCACGCGTTCCTACACACTTCAGGGTTCTCGTGGGACACTAGACGGACTAAGGGCGGGATTCCACCTGTGGGATAGAATTAGAATCAATGAAAATATATGGTAATTCATAAAGATAAACGGTGGGCTAAGTATCAGATTAAAAGAAAATAGGCGATCTGTACCCCTAGCACGTACCAATATCGAATTCGTCACGTTTGCGGGTCCGAAATGTCATTGTCAAATGTGTACTGATTTTTAATTCCCGTGGCGTACTTTGTGGCGCTGCTGTTCAAGTTACCATATAAAATTTGACATTGATATTTCGCACTCGCAAACTATTCGAATTCGATATTGGTTCGTGCTAAGGGTAATGGTTGCTAAGCGACGTTTCGTAACGAGTAGCACCCTACATTTTTGGCATATGTAATATTAACTGTAGTTTCGTCTATTGAGCCTAGGGCATTTTATCTTCTGAGGGAGCGGGAGGAGGACGCTCTAGCCGCCCCTCTCCGGCGTAGACGGGTGGGCCAAAGAAGGCAGGCAGCGGTGACTGCCGGTCTTCGACGGCCCTAAGGTGGTCTGGGCGCGGCCTGACCAGCCGCGCGTCCTAGGTGCCGCTCCGGCATAGGCCACCACGTCTGGGCACTGCCTAGTACCCTAGCGCAGTCCCCCTGAGGCGCGTCGCCCGGTCCACTCGTTGGGCCGGGCCTGCCCGGGGGCGTGCTCGGAGATGTGGCGCACGCAGGTGCGTCGGCCCCGAGACCGCCCCCATATGGGCGTAGGAGGGTACCGGGGGGTTTTAGTGGAGTAGGATCAGTGTGGCCTTCCGCACTGGTCCTGCTTGAGTAGGGTCGGCACTGTTTCCCGTGCCGGCGAATCCCACACACGCCGTGCGCCTAGTCAGCGTCACGGTATGGTGCGTAACTGCATTTCCCCTCGTCACAAAAAAAAGAAAAAGAAGGGCATTTTACCTTCTACCGAATTATAAATAAAGAAGAGTAAGCAGTTAACACTTTTATTAATTTCTCATATATATATAGTTGAATATATCTCAACTTCAAACAATTGCAAAATGGACAATCAGTCGGATAGAGACAGGTTAGGTATAAGTTAATTTAAACCAAACCAGTTACCTAGACTCCTCGTCTTCTGCTTGTTAGGGTCGTCCATATACGTGAGGTGCTGGAGAAAGAACGCCACGTTGGCTTTCATATTTTCACTAACTACAACGCGGACGAAATCGCAGACGGAAGCTAGTTTAAAACAAAATAAGTTACCTAGATTAAAGTAATTTTTGTTATTATTGGGATATGGTATATGGTATTATACCTTTTTTTTTGCGATCCCCGATATTTCGGCACTGTTGTTTGTAAACGCCAGTATCACGGAGTTACTCAATCAGTCTGTGACCATGAAAGTCCTAACCAATATAGTTACCAATACTCCTCCTTCTGCTTGTTAGGGTCATTCATGTAGGTGTCGTGTGGATAGCGCGTTCAGTCTGCGATCGTGGAAGTTAAGTAACTTTTGCAATGGCCGGTCATCGGATGGGTGACCAAAAAGTATGATCTCGAGCTTTATGATGATGACCTTACCTAGACTCCTCGTCTTCTGCTTGTTAGGGTCGTCCATATACGTGAGGTGCTGCAGATAAGCCGCGGCGTTGGCCTTCACCACGTCGGAGGGGGAGTTAAGGAAGCCGATTACTTCCGGAAGATTAGGATCGCGCCATTGTAGACCGCCGCCGTCTTCGCGACCGCCCACGCCGCCGTGGACTAGAAAAACAATATATATTTATTTATTTACACTTAATAGGGATGACGACTAACTTTTTTCCTTCCTCTATCAGGTACATTATCAAAAAGTATTAGACACGTACTTTTTCTTTATTCAGGATTATGTACATAAAGATCATTACAGAGATAAATTGAGATATAATGACGTTGTTACCCCTATTTCACAAATACATTTTAATACCATTGGAAATTCTCTTCAAGTCCTTAGAAGGTGGTGCAAAAAAATTGGTGGTGTATTTAGTTATTGAAATGTTATTTTTAACTAATACCAATTGAGACAAGATGTTTCTTTTCTGTGCGAAAATTTTTATATTTAAATTGATGCAAACGTCAATTATAATTAAATTTTATATCGACAAATTCGACTTTATAGAAATTACGACTGTGCACAAGCTGAAACATGGTTTAAATATCAGTATTTCATTTATAAAGTTTACGTCGTGCATACGTATCAAATCTAATATATAAAATTCTCGTGTCACGGTGTGCGTAATTGAACTACTCCGAAACGGCTTGACTGATTTTCGTGAAATTTTATATGCATATTCAGTAGGTCTGAGAATCGGACATCTATTTTTTATCCCCCTAAATTTTAAGGGTGGTCCACCCTTAAATTTATATTTATTTTTTGGACAATTTTTTTTGTTTTTAATTTTTTATGATACATCATATAAAATACATACAACCCTAAATTTTCACCCTTCTACCACCAATATTTTTTTTTACGGTGATACTAAGTTCGATGAGTGTAGACTAACCATATTCGCCCAACGCCATGCCCGCCATTTGTTTCTGTAGTTCTTCCTCGTCGCCGTACATGGATTGTCCCCCGGCACTGCCCAAACTTAATCCGTTTTGTGAATCCTGTAAACGACAAAATAGCATTATACTGCCGTCTTTCAAAAAGAAAGATCGTTGAGGTGGAAATGCTTTCAAACCTCCACTGTTCTTCCGTACTCAAGCTAAAACGCGGCAAAACCAACTTTTGAGATATGGCCAAAAATCGGCGCGTAAATATTAAATTATTGCTGATTTGTAACCATTCGTCGCATGACGGATTTTTAGACAAACTATAAAAGATACGAATACTAGTTAAAGACAGATCGATAAAGAATTAAAAACTGTACACGATGCAATTTAAGACTGAAAATCGCCTGCATGTCACTTAGCCGCACTTTAGTTTGAGAACGGCAGAGTTAAGGTTGGTATTTTTGTCCTTCATAAGTGAGTAAGACCTGCTTGTAAATGTAAAATTATATTAGAGTTCGAAGTTACTATACTCTCTCTGCCTGTATATTACCTATACCGCCTTATTTTATCCATACGGAAGGTTTGTACCCTAGTAGTAGGGACATTAATAAGTTGATGATGATTTACGGAAAAGTGAGCTACCGACCAAAGCTAAGCTTTTTTGTCATTGGCCGAAATAAACGTTTAGGAGTGAAAATTAAGCAGCTTTCGTAATGGCATATCAACAAATGGGTGATCAAAGATTTGCTATCTCGAGCTCGTCCGTGCTTCAGAAAACAGGTCTTGAACTTGGTCTCAGCTACAGCTGCAAACTAGCATCTTCCTATCTGCACTGGGCCCGTGTGATGGGTCACGGCACGGCCCAGTCTCCCTATTCCATCCATGTGGGAAGGTTAATGCCCCAACAGTGGGGACATTAATAGATTAATGATGAAGTTTAGGTTATTATTCGGGTAAATGGCGGTAGCTTCCGCCTACCTTCTGTAGTAATATTATGAGGTTCTTCAGCAATGCCAAAAATTTACATACTTTTTTAATACTGTCAAATATCCCATTCGGTTATAATTTTTTAGGCATGTAACTGCTCGATGTTTAAATCTAAGAAAACTCCATTCGGTTGTTATTTTTTTAATAATAAATGTTGTATCCACTAATCCGCACGGGGCCCGCGTGATGGGTCATGTAGGCCCAAACTCCCTATTCCATCCATAGGGAAGGCCTGTGCCCCAGCAGTGGGTTTAACATTAACTCCCGCTCTGTGTAAGTGGCAGATTTCTGCCACGAGTCGAGAAAATTATTTTCTTGTTTGAATTTTTCATATTTTACGTTTTATCATATTTAGTATTGTTTTTTAATTTACACATCTAATATATAGATGAGTTTGTATAGAAACTATTCAGGATTGATTTTATACATAAATGAAACCTGGCTGTACAGTAGAACTCGAATCATAAGAAGAAAACGATCGGAAAATAATAAAAAAACGAGAGCCTTACAGTAGTCGCGTATGATGTGTAACATTTAAAACCTCACCTTATATTAGTAAAAAAAGAAATAAAACCTACTGCAAAAGGAATAAGCTATTTGAACATTATGTTCTAAAATCAAATCAAATAGCGCGACTTACTGTTATGCATCAATAAAAAACTGGCTGTGAAAAACAACATGGAGAGCTATACAGACTAGGGGTTAATAGACTGACTGATGACGATGATTTACCTTAAACGGCGGCGGTTGGTGCGGAGGCTGATCGTACGCGGTGGGGTAGTGCTGGTACCCGTACGCGTCCGCTGCGTACTCGCCCCGCGGTGACGTCACGCAGTAGTGCCGCCCCAACTGTTCCAGCGATGTGGAGTCGTACCTGCTACGTGGGAAGTGAACAAGGTGTTTTTAAAATAGTTTCTACCTTTATTTAATAAAGTTGAATAAAAATTAATATTAAAGAACTATTTCATACACTTTTATTGAGAAGATTTTAGGGTAAAAATTGCTTTAAAAATATCAATGATTAATAACCTTTTCTTCAGAGAACCACGCGCGCTGGCCTACGTTGCCACCGACTTACCGTGGCCTCTATTCCTACACGAACAAATAAATTTGGTGACTCATTTCTTTGTCGTACTGTTCGTAAGTGGAATTCTTTGCCCGCGCACGTGGTCCCTCCTTCCTACAATCTGGAGTCCTATAAGACAGGTGTGAAGAAGCATTTTTGCAGGCTGGCAAGGTGAGGCAACCATCCTCACCTTGTATCGTGTAGCAGTTTATAACTGCTGTACCAGCTATCTTCGCGTTTGAACTTTATCACCACTTTACATCAGGTGGGGTAGAGTCATTCGCCTACCAGGCTATGAAATAAACTAATAAGTTAACATACGCGAGCTACAAGCTTTTATATAATTAACAGAAATAATGACAATTATGTTATTAATAAATCCAGTCAAAGAGCCCATTCTTGTCTTTTGACAGGGATTGTGTAATAAAGAAAGCGCTCCACTAATTCCGTATACAAAGTTATCTTACATATAAGCAAATAAGGTATAAAGTTGCATACCTTTGTTGTAAATGTAGATTGTGTTGTGGTAAAGCGCCAGGAGATGCGCTCCTAGGCGAGGCGCTACCCCCACCTTCCACGTATTCCTGTAACAAGAATGAAATGTCAAAATAGTTTATCTACTGTACTCATTTGGATGTGTTGGTGTCCTTATGTAAAAAGGTAGCAAACAAGCATATGTCCGGCTGATGATAAGCGGCCGCCATAGTTGTTCAATAGAAAACCTTTGTTTATTTCAAATGTTGACAGTTGTAACATTGAGTCAGTGAGCTTCAAACGTATTTTTATCCAACTTTCATAACGACAAGAGACACTACACGACGACATTATCAAGTTTATTCATGAAAGTTGCACGGACCAAATGCATATTATTGTTATTTTAGTATTGCGATTAGTAGTGTGTGTTTACCATACAACTGTGTGACCTGTGTGTTGAATAAAGAACGAACGTAATAAATAAAGAACTATCAAGCCTGAACTGGAGTAAAAATTTTGAACTCCATCCCGACACGTGACAATAGTTATGACAATAGTGACCGTACACTTACGGTGAAGTGTAGTGGAGTCCATCACCTGAAGTACTATGCGTTTTAATCTAACACACTCACCTGTCCCATGTAGGCGGGCACTTGCGGCGGCGGCTCCACCATGTAGGCGGGCTGGCCCTGGTACGCGGTCGCGCCGTAGTGACTGTAAGTGGAGTCCATCACCTCAAGTATTATGAGTATTAATCTAACACACTCACCTGTCCCATGTAGGCGGGCACTTGCGGCGGCGGCTCCACCATGTAGGCGGGCTGGCCCTGGTACGCGGTCGCGCCGTAGTGACTGTAAGTGGAGTCCATCACCTCAAGTATTATGAGTATTAATCTAACACACTCACCTGTCCCATGTAGGCGGGCACTTGCGGCGGCGGCTCCACCATGTAGGCGGGCTGGCCCTGGTACGCGGTCGCGCCGTAGTGACTGTAAGTGGAGTCCATCACCTCAAGTATTATGAGTATTAATCTAACACACTCACCTGTCCCATGTAGGCGGGCACTTGCGGCGGCGGCTCCACCATGTAGGCGGGCTGGCCCTGGTACGCGGTCGCGCCGTAGTGACTGTAAGTGGAGTCCATCACCTCAAGTATTATGAGTATTAATCTAACACACTCACCTGTCCCATGTAGGCGGGCACTTGCGGCGGCGGCTCCACCATGTAGGCGGGCTGGCCCTGGTACGCGGTCGCGCCGTAGTGACTGTAAGTGGAGTCCATCACCTCAAGTATTATGAGTATTAATCTAACACACTCACCTGTCCCATGTAGGCGGGCACTTGCGGCGGCGGCTCCACCATGTAGGCGGGCTGGCCCTGGTACGCGGTCGCGCCGTAGTGACTGTAAGTGGAGTCCATCACCTCAAGTATTATGAGTATTAATCTAACACACTCACCTGTCCCATGTAGGCGGGCACTTGCGGCGGCGGCTCCACCATGTAGGCGGGCTGGCCCTGGTACGCGGTCGCGCCGTAGTGACTGTAAGTGGAGTCCATCACCTCAAGTATTATGAGTATTAATCTAACACACTCACCTGTCCGATGTAGGCGGGCACTTGCGGCGGCGGCTCCACCATGTAGGCGGGCTGGCCCTGGTACGCGGTCGCGCCGTAGTGACTGTAAGTGGAGTCCATCACCTCAAGTATTATGAGTATTAATCTAACACACTCACCTGTCCCATGTAGGCGGGCACTTGCGGCGGCGGCTCCACCATGTAGGCGGGCTGGCCCTGGTACGCGGTCGCGCCGTAGTGACTGTAAGTGGAGTCCATCACCTCAAGTATTATGAGTATTAATCTAACACACTCACCTGTCCCATGTAGGCGGGCACTTGCGGCGGCGGCTCCACCATGTAGGCGGGCTGGCCCTGGTACGCGGTCGCGCCGTAGTGACCGTAAGTGCCGTAGTGGCCGGCGCCCCCCGCACCCCCGTACGTACCCCCGCCGCTTACTGATACGGAGTCCATTACCTGCAATATTATGAGTTTTAGATCTCAATTCTATTGAAATTGATAATTTCTGCATCTAACACACGGTTTCTGAAAGACTGTTCAGTGATAACTCACTAAAAAGCCGTCAAGTCTAATAACGCGGTCGTGCGGTAGTGATTGTAAGTGCCGTAGTGACCAGCGCTCCCGACACCCCCGTATGAACCATAGCCGCTTGCTGATACGGAATTCATCACCTAAAATGTTATGTGGTTTAGATCTCAATTCTATTTAAATAAGCAATTTCTGCATCTGACACTAGATTTCTGTGGCTTGTACAGTGATAAAATTAAAAAACAAGCCGTCAAATCTATAGTTATAAATAATCTAATGGTAACTGTCAGTCAATGAAGGTGCTGAAAGCATGCTCAATGTGTCCATTGAGAGAGTTGCCAATTCTTTCAGGTCTAAAATCTGTAATTAAGTAAATCTTTGTTACAGATTTTAGCGCTTTTGTTAAATTGAGAGCCATGTTAGTTGAATAATTATTTGGCAAAACTTTCAGAAACCGGGCGTAAAAGTATCAGTATCACATTATTCTTATTTATCTGTTAATTATTTCCATAATCTGCTTTCAAATTTGTATGTCTGTAGAAACAAATAAAAATCATGCTTATATTGTCAATGTCTGATGGTTATATCTTAGAAGTAAAGGATAATGCGTAAAAGTACAGGAATAAAGAAGGACTCGTAGAAAAGTGTAATCTTTCATTGCAAAAATCCCATTTTGTAAACGTTTATACGTGTCGGTAAGTACATTATCTGTGTTATACTAACGTGCGGGTACTTCTGAGAGGGAGCTATTGTGAGGTGCCCTATGTGGTTGTAGTGAGTAGCCGGCGACGTCACGTACTGACTATAGTCGGGATCCACCGCTCCACCCCGGGGTAGTCACCCCCTTGTGAGAGAAACAACATAGGTTATACTCACGTGCGGGTACTTCTGTGAGGGCGCCATCGTGAGGTGCCCCATGTGGTTGTAGTGAGTGGCCGGCGACGACACGTACTGGCCATAGTCCGGGTCCACTGCTCCCACCCCGGGGTAGTCACCGGCCTGTGAGAGAAACAGTAAGTTTAAGTAGTAAAATGGAAAAAAAACACGAATACAATAAGTTCCTAAGTTGAAAGCTTCGCCTATACCAGAGGATGAAACAAGGGGTTTTTGTCTTTGCCAAAGTCATAATATCAAAGGCTTACAGTTTGATTTACATTTCGGAACTATTTCAAACTACGTGGTTCCTTGCATTTAATCCATATTATATTATCCTATTCGAGTAACTGATGGTGCAAGTGGTTAGGTTAGGCTTCGATCGTTGAAGCTAAGCAACTTTCGCAGTGGTCAGTCATCGGATGGGTGAACAAAAATTAATTAACTATCTCGTGCTTCCTCGCACTTCAGAAGGCACGTTAAGCCGTTGGTCCCGGCTGCCTCTGCGGTCGTTAGCACCCACCAATCTGCAATGCGGCCGCGTGTTGTGTCATGGCCGCACTTCCCTATTCCATTAATAGGCTGAAGATGATGATAATATTATCCTAATTTTATAAATTTTGAAGCATTCTTACACATTCAAACCTCTGAACCGATTATTTGGTTTAAGATAAAGGCATAAGACTTCGAGAAATAAAAAAAAACAACTTCTATCTGTAATTCAAAATATGCTTAAAGTGTTGTCAATTACGAAATGTGTACTACTGCAGAACCGTTAAGGTGTCAGATTTCCCAAATGCATCGCAGAAACAGTTCGACTTCCGTAGGAATTTGAACGATGCTCCGTAGGAAAACAGTGAATTCCGCAGATGGCACGGACAAATACCTACCTACTGTTTATATAATAGCATATTATGCTACCTGTAAAATAAATATATTTTCCTTATGAGGGGAGGCGGGCAATGTTTTTTCCATACAAACAAACGTTCTCGACCCCTCTTTGATTTTTATCACTAAAGAATTGATTTTGATAAATGAAATATCATTTTACTCATTCTATGCTCCTATGTCCTTCCTTTTTTCCGATAAAATGTAATTCAAAGAAACTAGAAGCCCTCAAAAATGCCAAACATAAACAAAAAATTAAATCATTGTAAAAGTACTTATTACTCTATGGGTATTTTTTTTTCATATATCTAATTTTCTTGAATGAAATCGTCGAGAGCCAAACTTCGAATTTTGCGATTTTATACGCAATTTTCAGCGGCAACTACTGTTGTCCCTATCACACGATATTAGCCAATGTCTGACAGCAATAGTTTTTCAAATAACTATTTCTCAAATGATTCTCAGCTCGCGTCCGCTCGAGTTAGAATAATATATCGGGAATTTGGTAAATAAACATGCTAACTTCAGACCATATAACAAAGTCATGGCAAAGAATAAATTATATTGTTATGGCCGGCGTGTCTTAGGGTTACAAAAAAAAAACCTGCTGAAAAATACAATAAATTCTCTCAAGATATCTAAGGTAAGTAGATACTTACTTGTCTTTCCTGTAAAAATACCGATCATATCTCGGTCTCCCCGATTTAATTCCAAATAAATGAGCAATGAGCATGAGGAGCTCGATGGCGCAACTGGTTAGCGCGTTCGGCTGCGATCGTTGAAGTTAAGCAACTTTCGCAGTGGTCGGTCATTGGATGGGTGACCAAAAATTTACTATCTCGAGCTCCTCCGTGCTTCGGAAGGCACGTTAAGCCGTTGGTCCCGGTTGTATCTGCAGTCGTTAGCACCCACCAATCCGCAGTGGGCCCGCGTGGTGGGTCATGGCCCAATCTCCCTATTCCATCCAAAGGGAAGGCCTGTGCCCCAGCAGTGGGGACATTAATAGGCTGATGATGAAATGAGCATGAGACTTCCAACAAAAAGTCCACAGGTTCAATAAATCAAGTTTATCAGCAATAAATATAATGTAGAATTCTCACTATACAATGTAGTAAAGGCCACTTAGGAACGTGACTCAACTGATAATAAAGGAATATGAGAATAACTTTTGTTCCTCCACTGGCCATTTTGAAAAATGTATTCACTCTTATAAACGTGCACTTTTCCGTTAATATTCTCGTCCATGCTGACATGCATTTTATATTTTGCTTGCATTCTTAAGCAAGGAAAACACAAGATGCACCAGCTGTGAACTTTCAAAAGAACGTCGCTATAACGGCTTGGCTAAGTCGACAGCTTAGGGCTCTTGTTAACGAGACGATTTCTGCCCGAGCCGGTGCCGGCTAAGTTCATGAGCACGGTATGGACGTTTGTACCGACCGCAAACCGTCACTAGTGCCCGCTGGTATCGCGCCACCAGACACAGCCCACGGCGATTTGGCTATCGTAAGCTCAGCTTACCGAATGAACGCAGACCGAGACTACACTGCTGCAAGTCGTGACAATAGGTATTCCTCGTTCAAATTTAAACTCATTTAGTCTAGGCTATTACAAGCTCTTTGAAGGTCAAATGCTATTCCATCGGTTCGTGAGTTCCAAGTTTGTACCCTGCTTTTATATTTCATACAATTGTGATAGGAATCCTGAAAGAGGTAATAAAGTTTACCTGCATTGCCAGATGGTGTTGGTGCGCAAGGGCAGCGGACAGCTCCGCGTCCTCGGTGGAGGCGTCCGACCGCGACACGGGGCTGTGCTGCGGCCCGTACGCGCCCTCCACCGGTCCGTTGCTGCAACAATCATACGAATAACATTATTATAAAGCTACAACTTCTAGGTTTAAGAGAGGTAGGGAATAGTGGATTTGCCGCTCGATTGGTGCGCCCGTCTGGGGAAGTAGCCTCCACCTTACAGAAGACCACAGTAAAATATCACTACCTTTTGGTGGTGTTGTGTTTCTGCTTGTGAGTAAGGTTCCAGGACTCCACGGGGTAAGGAAGACAACGGTGCGAGTGAAATTATTGGTCTTACAAGTGTTATACGCTTTGGTGGCCGCTTACAACTATTTAAAAATGTATATTTTTTAATAATTCTTAGCTTTATAATATTAAAAAAAATTTTATTATAATCTTTGCCGTGCGTAGGTACACATTGTTTTATTTTATAAGAAATCTCTCTGACGACTTCTTCTACAAATCTTCATAAAACTTGCCATAGGCATTTTTTACTCAAAGGATTAGTAATCCAACAATGATAATAGCTTTTTAACTTATTATCTTAAAATCCGACAAAAAGACAGGACTTCAACGATGTTATCTCTTTAAAGTATAGCAAGTTCGCTCATTGATTCGTTTTCTTGGCTGGCCGCACCACAACCCAGATTTCGGGACAAATATCCGTTTGCAATCTGCTCGGAAGCTAGAGCATAATTTGTGCACTCATTTGGCAGCCTGTGCACCGGAAAGCTTAATAAAATTACGGCTAAAATGATTTTAAACTAATCTTCTTTTCGTTTACTCACTTCATTCACATCAAATATTAAGCATATCAAGGTGCTAAAGGGGCGTTATAATTAAGTGGTTAAATAATTGCAAGAAATTCACGATGCAAAAGAATTCAGAAGTAACGTTAGGATTTCTTAGTGAAAATAACTGACCTTAACGTAAGAATTCAATAGAATAAAGGAAATTTATGTCACAATCATGGCTGTCCTGGTTTGGTTTTCTATTTCCGATACTGTCAGCAATGAGGTGTTTACTTTTTAAGTGAATCAAACGCTTCTCGCAATATAATTTAAATATGTAATTATTCGAATCGAAAATGCCTTCAAAGTTCTGTTCTGTAAATATGAAGATCTACAAAATCAATACTTATCGTAAAAAATAGGTATAACCTTGATGGTCTGAAAGCTTGTAAAGCTTTATAATAATTATTTTCACTTACTTGACTTACAGAGTAATAAAAAATATGTAGTTCATAATAAAAACAATTCTGACGACGCAGTCTGAAAAGGATGCGAAACGTCATAAATAAATAAATCTGTGCATCTATCTATACCGCTAAAACTTGTTATATTTTGGCTTAAAATACGCCTGACCAGATAAATTTAAATATATATATATAATCACTTTCTGTGGAAGAGAGCATTGTGAAAATAAGGATGGCAGTGTTCTTTGCAAAGATGCAAACAATTTGACAGAAAAAATACATACAAACGCAACAGGAGACAAATAAAAAAATACCTTTTATAATAACTAAACAAAAATAAACCTGTTTCAATAACATCAATCACATGCATACCTATAAAGTATTTGGGATAAACAAATCTATCGTTCTGCTAAGTAATTTGGGACAGAACAGTATGACATCTAAAGAGGGTCCGATTATACAAAAATATGGATATACATTTAAATACTGGTTTGCCACTATATTTAGATAGTGCAAATATTAAATTGTAGTAATTTTAGTTTTTTTTTATACGAGGCGCAACTAATTACCCCACTTCACCTGATGTTAAGTGTAAGTGGAGTAAGTCGCAAAGATAGACGATGCATACCTTGCCGGCCTGAACCCAATCCCCAACCTCGGGGAGCTCTGGAACCCGACTAGGGTTTCCAAATTGTTGTCTATCAAATATAGTAGGTATGGGGTTTAAATATTTAATTTATTTCTAAATTAATAATTATTGATACTCTGCGCCTACTAATTAAATTTTTATTTTTAAGAAAGCTTTTACTGACAAAAATCTTCTTTACGCAAAATATAGTATTTTCGCCTACTATATTAAATTTTTAGGAATAACGTATTTTAACCCCAAACCCGACCCACTAGCAGAGACACTACACCACCAAGGCACAAGGCAATATTATTTTATTGTAGTATTCTGTATGGTGAAAGTTACTCCCCCAGACGAGCGCACCAATTCGAGTGGCAAATCCGCTGTGTTCCACCTCTATTAAAATTCTTAAATGATTAATTTAGGTAGTAATTATTATTGAATCTCCCAGTACTAAAACGATCTACATAACTCTAGAAATAATTAACATTAAAGCAATCCTAGCGGCTAACCCATGCATTTGATGGCGAAGTCCAAAATACATTGTAAATTGTTACGTCCGCTTTCTAATGAGGTATATACCTAAACAGTATGAGTTTCATACACCTCATTAGAATAAATGCTACGGTCTTAGGTAGTTCGTTTAATTTATATTATTTGTTTCTAAACATTATTGTCTTTTTAGAATAGAATTTAATCGCATATGTCAGTTTGGTTATAAGTATTTTTTTAAATGTTTATGTAACAAGCTGCCGTACGAATGCGATCATAACTAAAAATAAAGAAGCAAGATTAAATAAACGAGTGTCATAATAAATTGTCATTTATGTAAGAATACTAACCGCAGAATAGACAACCAAAGCTGATAACTAAAAGAGTGTCATGTTATTAAGAACAGAATCAAACTATACTTTGTTGTGTTATGATCAACTTTTTTAAAGCAGTCTCAAAAGAACGTAGAAAATTCGAAGGAATTTGGTTACAAACCAAAAATAATCAAAAGGATTTCCCCTCGAAAACGAGATAGCTTTTTTCTTTTTCCGACAAAATGTAATTACGTGTTAGGTTTAACGTGGCAGTTGTAGTAATAGCTTTACCAAAGAGTTTTCTCATTGTGTTTTCATCTAAAACATTTGTTAGCTGTAAGTTGTGAAGAACATTATGAAATAGGAAAAACATCCTTGAAACATTAGGTACATCATCAACAAAATTTCAGGGTGATAAATCAATCTTGTGCCGAGCGTTTATCCCCCGGGTGTCCTGGATATAGGGACGTACAATCGACATTATATAAGGTTATCCAAATCTGATAAACGTCTCCAAATGATTTTTAGACTAGACGTTTTCGAAATAAAGTTCAGAATCGGTTACATAATGGCCAAAGTAAGACAAGTAGAACTATGCGAGTTAAGTAATAAGATAATTTATTATTTATCAAATATTGACAGTCGAGTGCTTGGGAATACTAGGGGATAAAGAACGCCAGCATTTACGATTTAATAATAAATGTTTCTTATTCTTTTCAAGCATGCGTATCGGTCACTCAGCACATCCAGAATTCTAGACCAGAAGTAAATAAAAATTTTGGATTGAAAATAACAGATACAAATATATATTCGTGTACACCAACAGATGATAAGTTACAAACACTCGTTCCTTAATCCATGGGATTGATTAAACAAGCTATATTTAGACGAACGGTAAACAACGAGCGCTAATTGTGCTGCATCACTGTCAGAATAATTCGATTCGGTAGCTGGTACTCTTGTGTCAGAAAGAAATTCCAGTCCATTAGTTTAATACGTGTTCCTGTCACTTTCAACAATTACCTAACGTTACGATACGACGAAGGTGAATGAATAAATGAATACGTTGATATTATTCGCTTTTCCGGTAGCCTTAAAATAGTTTTCAGCCTACATTTTGATGATGCTAATTACTACATCTGTAAAATAAAATCCTCGGTAATTGGACTGGGAATAAAAGAAAATATCCTTGGAAAGGAATAAAACAAAGTAGTCACAGGTTTACCAGTTTACCAGTCTAACCAATTTTATCATCAGCCTTTTAATATTCTCAGTGCTGGGGCACAAGCCTACTCTTTGGATGGAATAGGGAGATTGGGTCGTGCGTGATCCACCACGCGAGCCCAGTGCGGTAAGATGAGTGTGAGTGCTAACGCTTGCAAATGCAGCCGTATCCAACGGCTTAACGTGCCCTCCGCAGCACGGAGGAACTCAAGCTTTTGGTCACCCATCCAATGACCAACTATTGGGAAAGTTGCGTAACTTCCACGATCGTAGACCGAACGCGCTAATCTCCTGCGCCATCAACCTCCTCCTTTATACCTTATCATTACATAGTAAGAACAACCTTATTTAAGCCAATAATGTCACGGAGTAATAATTTTACTTGTTGTTGCATGTTGTAACCAACATTTTAAGAGATAAGAAAGCAAGATGAAAAAATACATAAAACATTTTTTTTGGGATTAGCACGTGTTCCCTCCTTCCTATAACCTGGGGTCCTTTATGAGAGGCGTGAAGAAGCATTTTTGCAGACCGGCAAGGTGAGGATGGTTGGTGTAGCAGTTTATAGCTGCTGTACCAGCTATCTTCACGTTTGGACTTTATTACCACTTAACATCAGGTGGGGTAGAGTATTTGCCTACTTTGCTATAAAAAAAAGGTCCGTTGCTCTAGTTTAAAAATATCGTTCCTAATAAGCAACGTATGAGCCACGCTAAATTCTAAACAGAGTGACCTTGGCTTTGCATTGTACGCTATGTGCTATTGTTACCGTCCCCACATCAGTGCTGTCACCCGAACACTTATTAAGGGACCGTTATCTACACCGATACATGATCATCAATATCCTTCGTGTCGACTTGATTTTATTTAAGAAAAATCTCAATATCGTGAAGCTATAACAAACTTATGAAAATAATGATAATAAATTAATAACAATAAATACTCGATTTTTAGGAAAAACTTTGACATATTATGTATTACTATTTGATAACAAAGTATATGTATCTAATGGTTATCAGAAATCAGAAATTTTAATTGCGTTTCATGTGGTAAACAAGGTCTAACATTAGTCAATTGCTGAGACATTGGAATATTTTTTTTGTGTATGACATTATAAATTATATTAAGATAAGTTTACTAGAAAAAAATCCACGCGGACCAGGCAGCAGACGGGACTCGAACCCGCCCCGAACTTTTCTTTAGA